TTAAGTCCTGAAAATATTAGAAAATCTCTTGACGGCTAGGACCATCATGCTCCCTCCACCAAAGTACTTTGATCAAGTCGGTCAGACTGATCAACCCTATTCCTGCATATGTCACTAAATGTTCGGACACGTAGTAACAGACTGCTTCTTCTTGAAAGACATTATCGAGAATCTCATCAAAGAAGGAAAGCTCAAACCAAGTGAGCAATAGCCACCGGCTCCCAAAATTATGGCGTTTAGTGTGGTCTCTTTTGTGACCAATGAATATGAGCCCTTGCAGACGTTGAAGGGTCCCTAATATCAGGAGCCTTATGGTTTTGATAGGAGCATGGTATCTGACATATACGATCAGCTCCTTGTTATGAGACTCCTCACCCCTTTGAGAAGAAACAGGGCGTCAAGGACAAAACCTTCCTCGAAGGGGACTCCGTATTGCCGATATCACGGTTCCCATAATCATAGGTTGCAAGATTGTTGGCCCCATGAGGACCTGATATAAGAATAAATAAGCAATGGGACTATATTCATGGATCATGCCCCTTCTGAATGCCATGTTCACCAAGTCCTTATACTAGAAAAGGTTCAAGGGTTCCCTCACCTGGAACTCTTTGAGCTATGCTCAGAGTATTCGAGGAACCTCAACTCTTCGGCTAACACTGAGGAAGTTTCAAGCTACGACTGGACTACTTATATTAGCTGAAAAGAGAAGAAATGAATGCAAGTCAAAGCCTTGAAAAGAGTCGGTTTAGAAGCATTAGAAATGATGTTGTCTCAAGTGCAGATAATAGTAGGGTATGAAGAGGAGGCTGCTTTATCTCCTTACACTAGGATGGACAGAAAACAAGCAAGGAAGTTGAACAACAAAGTCACTCAACCAACTTTTCCCCCTTACCCCACTTTGAAAGATTTCATGTCGTAGCCTCTAATGATAAACAACCTTCATGAGCAAAAAGAGATAAATGAAGTCCCCTAAGAAATTTGCAACATGACATGGGTGGTGAAAGCTGACCCTGACCTTTAGGTCATGCAGCTAGCATTAAGGTCTGGTAAAAGGATTGCTAAGATAAATCCACCTAACGACATCACGCCTAAGAAGGTCATGCCCACCGCAGAAATACAAGTTGAAACTTTCAATGCTACCAGACGTGTAAAACAATTGGCAGATGGAAAGATTGGTGACTACAATGTAACATCCCACTTGTAAAGAATATTGGCTGCCATAAGCTTTTAGGACATTATTATGCTATCCAAAGAACTTCGGGCGGGCCTAATACATGCCCTATCATCACCAGAAGAATTCCTAACTGAAGTCGATCAAGTAGAGATTGACCTGGCAGTCTTGGCTGATGTTATGCCGGTCACTTTCTCAAACACAGACTTACAGTTGGTAGCAAAGCCTCATAACCATCCCTTAATGGTAGCATGAGTCCTGCATGACACCCACGTCAATTGAATAATGATAGACAGAGGATCAACAACAAATCTACTCCCTCTAAGAACATTGAGAACTGTAGGGATGGATGTCAAGAGCTTGTAAGAAAGACACATAATAATACAAGGCCTCAATCAAGCTACTCAGAAAGCCATAGTGTGCATCAAATTAAAGCTAAGATATGGGGAGTTGGAGGCATACACCACATTCCAGGTCATTGAAATCAAAGCATCATATAATGTTTTATTAGGATGTCCCTGGTTACATGACAATGACATCATCCCCTCGACCCTCTACCAGTGCTTCAAATACTTACGGTTTATGCCAATTGGAGGCCATTTACCAAAGTGGAATCCCATTACGCAAATGTTAAATTCTACAGCCTCGAAAACTCAGATCCCTACTCTGTGGAGATGTCGAAAAGTGACAGTAATTCTGATGATGATCATGGAATCAAAGAAGCCCTAATAAGGGTCTTTGAAGGCTTAGATATTGAAGCAAGGACCCGACCCCTCACTTCTGAGGTACTAGTTGAGGTTCAGCAGGACATATTGCACCATGTCAATGATGGCCTGATCATTACCCCTTTGAAAGAAAAGTTCAAGAAATGGCACAAAGAAGAATATAAGGCCCTCCCCTTCAAAGATGGAATCTCTAAGCCACAGTGGGAGCTTTATAGTCCCCAGGCTCATCGAATCATGAAGAAAAAGGCAACCAATTCAATGCTCTGAAATGTAAATGTCATAAAAAGATTGGGATGTTTTAAAATACTTAAAACATGCATAGATGCCAATTAATTTCTTTACCAGAGAACATCACAGTTAGGGCCAAATTCACTCATGCATTTCCTTGTAATAGAAACACATGGTTTTTTTTATATTACTAGGAAATGAATAGCTACATAGGTTTAATCCCCTGTTATAATTTACATTGAGAAAATAGTAAACAAAAGTAGATAAGGCCAATTTTCCTAGATTCTAGCCTTGAGACCAATACATTCGTTTCTAATAAGAAATACGTACAAACATATTAAATAAAAAAGAGATAACATCAAATGGACCTTAACCCATATACTTGAGCTACAACAGGGATGTTAATCCTATGTCAGCTTCCTTTTTAGAGAACGGGCGTCAAGTGGATATCTTAAAACACAGAATCAATCTCTTTTCTCTTTCTCTTTATCTCACTCTATCTTAGCACTGTAATCAATACGTGAACACAAAATGTGGCCAAGGGAGTGCTTATCTCAAAGAAAATATGCGAACCCCCCCTCTTGATTGCTAACGAAGCTTTTATAGTCTTCTTCAAGTGATAAACTTCAATCTTTTCTTGATAACTACGAAAACATTATCTTTTGAACTCCATCGTTGATCTCCTGATGATGTTTATTTGGGGGTTGAAGGCCAAGAGATAGACTTAAACACGTGTGATCAAGTTCATTCGGTAAATAGCTTGATTGCTGCTCCTGAGACTGTTGAAAATGGCCTCCCTGCTATAATGACAGCGACTAGGTTTCCACCGAACCCTTCCAAATTATCGCAATCTCATCTTGATCTGGCTATGGATCACTATGCTTATTTAAATATGATTGATGTCATGGGTGCGGCCTTTCAGTCGACTACCCCTGAGGTGATTGCTTCTTTTGATTCTGTTGTTAAGGCTGCTCCTGATATGGCTAACATGGTCTATGCAGCTAGAATTGAAGTTCAAGCAGATATCGCTAAGATTCCTCCCTGCCCTTATAATGGCCCTTTTGATACCTACATATACCCACATCCAGAGCTCTATGCAGATGATGTTTATGCCCCTCCCAAACCAAAACCGAGGTCTGCTCCTAGCCTTCTCGCTCCTCAGCCATGCTTGCTACAGGTGGTCCAGCCCATAGACCCCCGAGTGGGATTATGATTAATTCAGATGCTCTATGCTCTTGGCGCACCTCGTTATCAAGTACTACCAGTAGCAGCAACAATGTTTCTTCTTACGCTGTGTCTCCTTATGAAGATGGTGGCTTCGAGGGACTCGGTGAACCTTCATCTTGAAAATGAAGATCATCAACGAGAACATGAGAGGTTTGGGCGATGATTGCCGCAAGAAGGAGGTCAATCTCTTATTCTCTAAGTATAAACCTTATGTTGTTAGTTTGCAATTAGCAAAACGTGTATCTCCTTCACTCTTGGATGCTAAAGTTTTTTGAAGTAATGGGTCTTTCTATTTTGAGGGTGTGGATGTTGTTAGGAATTCTGGTGGGCTTTCGATTCTTTGAGACCCGACAGCTCTTCTTTACACCCAGGTTTTCAAATCTGATAGATTTCTGGCTATCACTTTTGAAAGCCCATCTAGATATTTTAATTGGGTTCTTATTAATGTTATTGACCAAATGCTACTTCTCCTAAGGGTATTTTCTTGGATGCTTTTCAGTCTATTATTTCTTCTTCCGGGTTTACGGTTTGTATTGGGGAGACTTCAACTTAATTCGTCACGTTGATGAGATTTCGTCTTATCTCATTTTAATTCTCATATGCACCTCTTTAATGATTTCATTATGAATAATGAACTTCTTGATTTTCATGTGTCAAGTGCACACTTCACTTGGTCGAACAACTATTCTAGTCAGTTAATTCTTTCTAAGCTTGATCGATTTCTTATTTCTGAGGCTTGGGAAAGGTTTGTTCTTGTTGTTAAAGTTAATATTTTAACAAAGCTTTCCTTAGATCACCGGCCCATTTGCCTTCATACTGAGGAAGAAGCGTCTAGACCCCTCTCGTCTTGACAGTAATTGGCAAGAGCAACCTGAAGTAGTTCATATCATTAACAATACTTGGGCCATTTGTTATACGGTAGGAAGTTTTGGGTTCCAGCTTCATAAAATCTGATCTGCCTCAAAAATAAACTTATCTCCTAAAGAAGGAAACTCAATATCAACTAAAAGGGAAAATAGAGACTATTTTGATGAATATAGAGGTGCTTGAACTCTCTATACAGGAAAATCATTAGCTAACTATTTTGATGAATATAGAGGTTATAGTGATCCAAAAGAATGTTTTGCTAAATAGGCTTCATGATTATCTTCAATTGGTAGAAATTTATTGGAAAAAGAGGTCTAGGATTAAATGGCTTAAGGAAGGAGAGAAAAATACATATTTTTTTTCATGTTATAGCAAATGCTCACAGAAGACAAAATGATATCTCGGCCATGACTCTACCTGGAGCTCCTGAGGGTGATTCCTCGGCTAGAGATAATGCCATTATTAATTATTTTGAGAACGCTTTCTCTAATGAATTTCAGCTTGGATTCATTTTGGACAGGGTACTTTTTAGATGTCTATCACCTTGTTAGGTTCATGAGCTAAAGAAGGAGGCTACTGAAAAGGAAGTCAGACAACCAGTTTTGCCCTTCCTAGAGATAAAGCATGCGGCCTTGATGGCTTCCCTTGGTTTTCTTTCACCGCTTTTTGGAGTAGGTTAAAGGATGATGGTGTATTAATGGTCAAGGAATTTATAAATACAGGTAGAGTGCTCAAAGGAATCAACTCTACTCATATTTCTTTAATTCTTAAGAAAGACATTATCACAATAAAGAAAGCCATGTCAATTCTGCAGTAGTGGATACCATAGATCTATATTCCACTTCAACACTAGAATGAGCCACAGTCGATTGTTTCTTAGCATTCCAAGATATGTCGTTGTAACCAAGGTTGGTGTAGAAACCAATGGTGGAACGACGAGTGGATGGAAAAACAGCCCAGTCTGTATCAGAGAAGGCATATAACTCATGGGAACTAGCAGATAATATTTTTATACCACAGGATTGTATACCATTTTGATAACAAAGAACACGCTTAGCTTCTTGAAAATGTGCAATTGTAGAGGCGTGCATAAACTGACACACTGTATTAACACTTTGAGAAAGCTCTGCCATTTTTGACATACTTACATCTCCCACACGAATAAGGAGAGAGCCGGTAACAACTTGGTATTGCTAGTACTCAAAACACTGATAAACCAAAGTTATGCCACAAAATAAGTCTCGGACTAGGCAACTTGGGAGGAATGCTATCGCATCAAAGAGAGACCTTACAACTATAGCCCTATGCTAGCGGCTTCAGAACAGTACCAGACCATCGCCATCGTACTCAGAATATTGATAAATCCCCAAGGCCCAAATTTGGGCTCAATCGAACCACCCAAAAGGAGTCTACACCCGTACGGCCTCAAAACAGGTAGGTTTTACACTATCCCGGTGTGGCTTCACTGAACCAATTCCCAAGCACAGAGACTGCAACATCGCATCTCAAGATAGACTTCAAAGAACCCACATTAACTTTACTTAAAACCAGAAAAAATTCATACTTTGACGTGTTCTAGATCACGTCAGCCTCATCATTTTCTCCCAGGGCATGTACTGTGGCACGACCCTGAGTCAAACTTCTTCTAGAAAGAATGTGACCACAAAACCAGATAAATCAAGGTTTTAAGAAAAAGACATCTTGAACCTCGTGAAGCACAGCTCGAAATCTGTGCATGGGATCATCGCGAAGACGAGTTCATATAACCACCTCGCAGAGAGCTGCAAATTGGTATAAGTATTGTACCTCATCCAAGGCCCGATAAGTATAGATCCCTAGCTTGCTAGGAAAGCAAACCCACTCGGTCGCTGGAATCCCTTTTCTCGGTAACCTCCCAAATTAGGAAATGCTGCAAATTAATACTAAAACAGACCAAACTTGGTTCAAGAAGACTGTGACAGTCTCCTCTTTCACATGCAAGCAAAATAAAGACTCAGAGCATCATAGGTCAGAGGGCATTCGCGACCGAAGTTCACGAATCTAACCAAACTTCCACCACATGGGAAAGGGCTGCCTCAGCACTACTCAAGAGCATCAAAATGCTCATAATCGAACAAGCACTGACGATATAACAACAAATCGACTGCACCATCGCCACAAGTCCACCAAAAAACTTCCAAGATCAGGCAATGGCAGAAGGACCCTCAAGCAAGGATGGTTTCATCATTAGCATAAAAGTTCTCAGGGGCGTTTTGGTCATTACACCTAATTTTAGCATTTAATCTTAATTTCTTAAATTGTAACTAAGCTTTGGTTTTTAGCGTTCACCCCTGTTTGGTGAATCCTCTATATAAGCAAGCTTAAGCAGATTATTGAGCATCATTCATAGATAAAACAGAGGCATAACGCATGTTTTCACTCGTCTTTTGCTTTTGAACCCTTAATCTTGCTGAGAGGAGAGAGAAACCTTTTCCAAAGAGAAAATACCCTTGACTGCGTGGCCACGTCCTTCCCAAGGTGAGAAAACAACTCCGCATGTGCAAGGACATCCTCTTAATCTCTCAAGCCAGGTCACGTCCTTTTCTCTCTCTCTTCTCCTCTATGCCTCATCTGTCAAAAGCAGCCGCTCATGCCCACTAGAGACACGCGGTCACGAGCACGCTTGTGAGTGATGATCCTCGGTTTCTCTCACACCTTCCTAAGCCAGCCAGCCAGTCCCTTCCAAGAGGTAACCGTCATAAAAGGGGGATAACCGAGCCCCATTGCAAACACAAGAGAGAGAGAGAAGACTTTTGATCTGAAGAGAGTCCCTGTCCAAACCGTGCTGACGACAACCTGAAGGCTTCGTGATTGTTTTAAGAGGGCGAAGTGCCCAGGCGTGTCCCACGAACCCCAAGCGGCGAGGCAAGAGAGCAAACACACCTCCCCCGCCATAAAATATCTTCGTTGTTGGTTCCTATCTGTGTACAGGGGAGCCCATGTGCTCACACACCCACAAGTGTCCATCACGTGCGGATCCCCCACGGTTGTTTAAGATAGGGTCTTCCGCCTTGCACGCACACCACATCCACGCCAGCGTAAGGACCGACGCCAAGACCAGGCCCTGACGAACTGGCAACTCCACTGGGGACACATCACCCTATCATTGGCTCGGACTATTTTTAGGTACCAACCTCCACTTTTTTTCTCTCGAAAATTACAATGGGATCCCATTATCCCTCCTTTGTCTAGATTAGGGATTTCTACATCCCCATATTTGTGACTTTACTTATGGCAAGCGAATCACCTGATCCTGCCTCCCCCGCGGCCTACTCAAGCAGCCCGACAGGCCTTGCTTTCCTAGTCCAACCTAGGAAAGCTCAGGGCACGGGCACTCAAGCCTCCTGCCCCTCCTCCTCCGACAACAAAGGGAGATCCCTTGATGTCAATCTCATGGGTGGCGCTTCCGCCACCCCTTTGCATAAACACCCTGTCACTGGCGAGCATTCCACCAGCCACAAACTTCAACATGGTCCTCGAGCCACTGCTCTTCTACACTCGGTGAACCCCAACAAGGCCACCGCCTCTGCGGGTAACCAAAAGGTGACCCGTTCTATGTTGCACAAGGACATCACCAGCGCTGGCACATCCTTAAGTACACCACACTCTAGCAATTTCTATGCCAGCCCGTGCAGTCGCTACACACACCTAAACATACATCATCGTTGAGGGTGTAACTGTCACTGTGATAAGTCGGGGCAGGCAACAACCCACCCCACTCTCCTCAACTACTTCAGGTTTTTTCTGACCCGGATGTAACACATGTGGTCCTAAGACAACCCAACTCATGCATGCTTGCTCTGCAACTCGGGGCAGCCTAAAGGTTGTGACCAAACAAGCACACAACTATCGACACAATTGAAAGCCTCATGATTAAATACACCTGCAGCTTAAGGCATCCCAAACTAAACGCGCTGCCCCAAGAACCATTGTGGGTCATGCACACACATGCAGGATCAGGGAAGCTGTCGACGAAAAAGGGAAACAGGCATCCGTCGTCCCGCTGACTGCCCCAAAGCCACTGGTTACATGGTACTCGAAGAAGTTCCCCTCGATCACCATCCTCTCTATCCCTCCTTCCATGCACATGCGAGCCAGCCCCCGAGTAGAGCTCAAGGTGGAAGGACTCCATTGGCGGCGACCAGTCAGCCCTCTCTTCCTTCAAACTACCCTTAACCACCAGGGCCACCTGCAGACTCCCTCCTTCCTGGGCATCACTCTTTACCCGAATTGATCAGCTTTGCTCATGCGTCCGTCGAGCATGCCTGTCAAGAACAAGATTGGAATCATTTCCAATTATGAGGGAAGATTTACCGGAGCCTGTGGCTCAAACAAGCAAAGGGGATGGAGGTGTCACCCCTCCAAATAAAAGTGGGGCCTTCTGTCTCAAGAGACCTACGGAAACAAAATCGGTTTCACCCATTGCAAGCCATGAAGGAACCCGAGACACAATCGACGTTATCCTTTCTAATGTCGTCGAGATCTAAAAGGGTGAGCCCACTGCACTCGACTCACGGTCCTGAGGCCGTCAAGAGTCAGCAGCCGAGATCTGGCCCATACGCCACTCAGTGTCCATTCAGGTCAGGCCATGGCCCCAAGGCCTTCGAGCATCAGGCTCCAAGCCAGCCCGACCCTAAGGCCGACCAAAGCCTATGCTCACATGCGCCTTAAAGCAATCTCAGGATCAAGTGGGGCAATCTCAGCCTTTACTTGTAGGCATGCCAGATCGAGGCACAAAGAGGACCAAGGTCACACTACCCTCTGAATTACCCAACTCTGATGAGAGAGTCAAGGTAATGGTGATGAGCCATGATGGGGAAGACCTTGAAAACCCAATGGCTGGCTACGAGAATGTATTAAACAATATTCTTGACAGACTCAAAGAGCTGGAAGATGCCCATCCTGCAGTGTCCTTCCATAAGGAGGCAAACTCTCCTCTTGAGCCGGCACATGGAGAAGAGGAAAGACCTCAGCCTCCCCCTCTGGCCCAAGCCTCGAGGCCTCTAAATCCCCCTATCTCTCTTAAGGACAGCCCAACATAGCCTCTCAAGCTACGCCATCGATGTTCATGTAAGAGGATGTACAACGGATGATCGATAAAAGCACTCAGGACTTATAGGCGTCGAAAACACAAGAAAGTGTTTCATACCAGCAGCCTTATCTGCCTTTTATTGATCAAATCCCCTCCCCTATTGGGTACCAAAAAGGGAGATTGCAAGTCTTCGATGGCACGGGTTCGCCTCAGCAGCACGTGGCCCACTTCATGTCTGCATGTCAAGAGTCTGCCTTGGAACACAGACTATTGCTCTAACAGTTTGTAGAAACTCTCATTGGGCATGCTTTCAAGTGGTACACCCGCTTGCCGCCCCACTCTGTCCATTCCTGGTAAGAGATGGAGCAGCTATTCTATAAACGCCTCTACGAAGCAAAGCTAGATTTTCAAGCCATAGAGCTCCACACAATGGCTCAAAATCCGGACGAGTCAGTAGGCCAATACATCCAGAGGTGGAGAGATCTTGTGATGTTCCAAAGCAACCTCATGGGTAAGATTGAGGTCGTACACACATGCATAAGGAACATGAGGAAAGAAATCTCCTTACATGTTGACGCTTCTAACTCCACCACTTTCACCGAAATGATTACTAAAGCGGCAAAAATCGAGAGTCTGTTGAGACATCATGGAGGAGATCAAACCCAAACCTCTGAGGGAGGTAAAGCCCAGGTCAACAGTTATAACCCTCGTGCTAACCAACAAAAGGAAATTTCCTCTGGCTTTATTTCTTTTTTCTTCCTAGCCACAGTACTACGTGAACGTCAAGGAGAAATCTAGGCAAAGTTGTAACTAGGATGCTTAGACGTTTGGACGCATTTATCGTAGATCCATCCATGGAGAGGAACAGACTTTGAGGGATCTTGTCGCGGTCCTCACTGTCACAAGACCATTGGGGTTAGTTTTTAATGTCTTCAACCTATCAGACTAGTTTGTGACATGGAGAGATTGGTATTTACAGCCCTCACCCTATCGGACGGTACCCTTGTGAGCCATTCTGTGTTTTTTAGGGATCTTGGGGTCATCGTCCTCACCCTAGGGACT